TTCAATGTGGGAGTAACATTGATAATTATAGCTAACTCCATCCCCACTTACCTTTTTAAAAATATTTTGATCCTTTAGTTGATAGAGAAGCTGTGTGTTTCATTCAAATTCCATTTATAATGTTGTGGTGATTTATGGTGAATCATCCACATTTCCTATACCAAGGACTCCTGTAGGGTAGCAAAATTAAATTACAGTCTCTGGCATGAGGTAGATCAAAAGAAGAGGGAAAATCCAAAGAAGCTTGGCATTCACTGACCTTCAATATAATTCAATTGAAAAAGTTCTGGTTGCATATGGACTAGCAATAGGCAAAGCTCTCAGGAGGTGTTGTTTTTTTTTTTTCCATAACTGCTTAAGAACTTACTCTTGACAGAGTAGCAATCCATCTGATTAGAGAGAAGTTCAGCTACGTTACCTTTAATACGACTTCTCAGTTATACCTGAGAAATTACCAGTCAGTTGTTAGGGAATATCTCCCACAGCATTTTTATCAGAGAGTTTCAATACAATCTCCCTGGTTATTTAGCACACAAGCACACACATGGATACACACATATGTGAGTGCAGAGTTCCAGAGCAAGCATCAGGTGAGGCAATGGCAGCAGTATAGAAGGGAGCTCTCTCCACACATAGAAATGACTATTTAAAGCACTGACTGTTCACCTAACATTTAGCCTCTATTAACCACCTAAGCTATATGTCTCTAGCTTTCTGCCCTTTTCCAGCTATTGCTGACATAAACCAGAGGTTTTTTATGCCTGTAGCTTTAGCATTTGCATCTAAGTATGTGCATTCAACAGAGCTAATCCCTAAAGCCAGTACATGATTCTTCCTTCTCCTCTCCACCCAACCCTAAAATGAGTAATAAAGTAATTGGGAGCAATGTTTGTACATCAGTAGCCCCTCTTCTATTACAGCTTTTCAAAATAAGGTAATTGGGAAAGCTAAAGTGTTTCTATTTTAAAGGCAAATCCTTTCCTAGTTTTCTATGCATATATGCACTCATGCTAGCCCACAGCTGGGAATAATGTAAGAATCTTGGCTCTGATATAAAATTCCTATAACTGTCAGAACAACTTAAAATGCAAAGCAACCCAACCAGGTGAACATAATCCCATTTTAATAAGTATTTAGAGGGTTATTTCTTTTTCTTTCTGTTTTTTTAAAAACATGATTAGTTGTCTTTTAACTGGAGGACTTGGAGGAATAATCCAATTTATTAAAATAAACTTGGAGGTTTATTGATATTAGACTGATGTCTTCGCTGTTGGTAGCATATCATTATTTTAGGGATTGTTGTTTATCTGGCGGTGTACATACTTCAAAATTGGTGATGCTTGAAACTACAAATGCATGTATTGGTCTTTTATCAGGAATGGCTCATACACAATACTAGAAAGCTTCTCACACATCTTTTGTGCTCGATTCAGAGTACAGCACAGAAAAAAATAGACAACTGCAATATACAGCTGTAAATCCCAAAGATGCTTTTCAAGAAGACAACAGGACTTTGTTGTTTTTTTCTTTGAAACTGTTTTGTTTCTCATCCAAGAAGCTTCTTCAGTTGGATGATTGAGAATCTCCAAAGACATACAGCTGTAGGAGTAAAAGTTTAGTCAAGCTTTGTTTTCTGCTTTTCAGTGATAGATGTGGATAGTCATTAAACAAAGGTTAAGGTTATCCTTGTGGCACAATGCACAAATGTTGTATCTTGCTCTTGTGACAAAGATAAATCTAGTGGAATATAGATTAGGTGAGGAAATTACGTAGGTCTCTGCCCTGATTCTGGTTAGCACAACTGAAGCCTACATGTTTAAATTCAATAAACCCTTTCAAACTTACCCAATAAAGACTAACATTTTTAACAACATGTTATCTAAAAATGCATGATTATAATTCATTTTGTCTTGCAAAGTAATGCAGAGAATAAAATGTCAGAAAATGTCAGAAGGGGTTTAACTGTTTCCTTGCCCTGCTACTTTTCTTCAAAAGCAAACTAGCTTACAGACCCCACAAGTTTGCAATTCAGGGGAGCAAATTAGAAGAGAAATAGAGAAAATAATTAAATCATGGAAGGATTAATTGAGTTCTCCCCAGGCCAAAAAGTTCTTTCCCCATGGTAGCTTTTTTGAAACTGTGCACACTATATTAAATGTATTTATGCAATACATTATGTACTGTTGATTTTTCAAATTCCAAACACAATTATTACTTTCAAATAAGCAAGTACAATGACCTCCCAACACACAATTGTAATTATATTTTTTAAAGATAATAAAAGATATATTCAGGAGGTGTAATGTTTAATTCATTATGAATTATCTGGAAATTTATATCCTTTGATTTTGCTTGGCTTTGACTTGGTTGCAGGGCTTAACAACTGTATCTTGAAAGCCATATTTAATTTCATAAAGTTTATAACCTGATTTCTGGAAGCATTCAGTTTTGGTCTCTAGATAAGAGAAAACATTGCATTCCTTGGCTGCTTGTAATATTGTGATGAGGATTTCAGAATGAGAAGACCAGAGAAAGGTGGCAGGAGTGAAGGACAGGTGGAAAGCTTGACTATGCCGGTTTATGTTTGTAATAAATATTTGATTTAAATATGGAAACATTCTATAATCAAATATTTGGATATCATAAGCACCATGATTACCATTTCAATTATTTCTTCTTTAAGTGTTTATTAAAGATATTCCTCTGCATACACTCATATGTAAAAGCCAAAGGATGCACACTAAAACCTCATTGTCCTTTAACTCTTCTCATTAGGTTCTCAGAGATATTGGGTAGAGATAGTTCTAACTGGATTTGGTTTTGCATGGTATTACCCCTTCCAGAAGCTTGAACTCTATGCACTTAGAATTTCAGAGATGGGCAACAAAAATGGTACAAGGTCTGAGGGACAAAACATATCAGAAGAGATAGAAGGAAGTGAATATGTCCAGCCTGGAAGACAGAAGGGAAGCGGGAAGGGACATGATTGAAACCGGTGATGAAATCCAGCCGGATCTATCTGGCTTCCTCAAACTGGTAGTGCTGGCAGTGGGAGGCTCCGCCCACCCGCCAGGATGTCATTGTGTCCTGTTTTTGACCCTCTGCGTAAGCACAGAAAAGGCGCGTGCTCACATTCCCAAACGGGTAGCAAAGATAAGTGCATTTCATTGCTGATTGAAACCATTAAATATATTAAGAGTGTGAATAAATTTCTAAAAGGCAGTATTTTCAATATTAAGCAAAAATCAAGAACATGGGACAAAATCTCAAACTGACAGGAGGGAAGTTCAAAAAGTAATGTTAGAAAGTATTACTTCACAGAAAGAGTAGTAGAAACTTGGAGCCAACTTCCAGCAGAGGTAGTGGGTCAATCATCAGTAACTGAGTATAAACGTGCTTGGGATTAACATATATCCATCATCCAATAAAAATTAAATTGAAATTAAAATAATTAAAAATAATAAATAAATGACAAGAAAGAAAAACAAAAAATCCTCAGTAGGCAGACTCGATTGGGCCCTGGGTCATTTTCTGCCTTTCTATGTTTATATTTCCATAGAGCTGATCAGTTTGTGATTCTGAGTCTAATTTACAGTGCCTTTTACAAGTAAGCAATTCAGACATTATACAAGCTGTTAAAAAGCTGCCTGATGGTCTCATGATTAGCTGAAAAGATAAAACAAAACTGTGCCTTTCTTCCCCCATTAGACCAGAGTACAATTTTCAACCAAACACAAGACTGAATTGAATTTTCTTTACAGAACTGCTTGTTGGATATATTTCTTTTCATCCTTTTCTTCTTGTTGCAGACCTCAGAAACATGTGAATTACAGGATAAGAATGTCAACAACATGTTTCAGTGAAAAGAGAATTGAATTATTCTGTTAATGGCTTCCATCTATGGGCAAAGTATCATAACATTGGCCTTTTGCTGCTGCTTATTCTGCTTAAGAATGTAAGCTGGTTTACAGACAAAGTAATGACAAAGTATGACAAAAAATAAAATTAAAAAACTCCCAAGAATGTAAAATTATTCAGCAAACAGAATATCAAAACTCAGAAAAAGAAATGATATAAAAACTCAGCAAGAAGTATGAAATTAGTCATAAATTGTATTCCATTGAGTGGAATAAAAAGGTTTTCTAGTCTGCATCTAAAACGGGAAAATAGTGGTTGACAAATTTCCACAAAGAGAAAGTTTACAATACTCAGTTGAGAAGGCTCTATACTTGGATTCCACCAATCTTTTATTTATCAATGGGACAAAAAAAAAAAAAAAAAAAAACCCATCCCTTGATGGTACTTTTATAATTCAGATTTTTTGTTTTGACAGATTGCAAATTTTAGGTCATTCAGAACTTTAAAGGCAACAGTAGCACTTTGTATTGATCTAGCTATATATGGTCTCTGTAACATTCGTTTCTCAAGGACTTAACAGATATTTTACATTCGTAAGCAAAGTGTAAAAAGAAACATCTTTACTTTCCTCGTGAGGTTCTTCTACCAAAAGTATTTTTCTTGTTTGTTTTTGTCCTCACAAATGTTTCTCTTCTTATGCAAGAAGCTTCTTCAGTTCAAGAACTTTTAGATGAACTGAAGAAGGTTCTTGGATGAGGAGCAAAACATATTCAAGGAAAAAAACCAAGAAAATGCAGTTGCCTTTTGGAAAGGCACCTTTGTGACAACCATAACCTGGATGATTGACAATCTCCATAGACATGGTTCTTTTACCTTTTTTTTCGTCCTTTGCTTCCTCTGTTCCTATTTAAAATAACAGGTATCCTTTTAAAGTGCCCTATTCTATTCCTCTGACTCAAGCCATTTCTTCACTGATGATACATTATCTTGCAGAATCACAATTGAAATTCTGTAGCTATTCCTTTCTTTGAATGTGAAGAATCCAAGCAATAGTTCAGGCCTTTTTCTTTTGTTTCCAGTCTTTCAGCACTGCTATCTGATTAATTTAATTCTGATTTTCTTGCTAATGTCTCCAGCATAGTGTCAAGCAAAACACTGATGGTGATCAAACTATTAAGGAAGCTTATTTACAGTGATGGTGTTGAGGGGCATTTAGAGGTAGGTTTACACATCGTTTTACTTTTTAAGCAACATATATACAGATAGTCTTCACTTAACAAAGGTATTTGGGACTGGAATTTCAGTTGTAAAGTGATGCTGTCATAGAGTGCAATGTCACATGACCTTGACACTTAGCAACAGCTATTCCAGCAGTCCCCAGATACCATTGTTAAATGAGGACCACACAATCGTTAAGCAAGGTTGTCATGCAATCGTGATTTCTGACTTCTTGCCGACTTCCCCATTGACTTTGTTAATGGGAAGCTAACAGAATGGTGATCATGTGATTGTGGGACCCTGCCCCAGTCAGAAACAGTGCTGAGTTCCCAGATCATGATCACCTGATTGTGGGGATGGGAGCAACCACCACTCATTGTGGGAGCAATCACCACTCATTCTGTCCCATCGCAAGTTTGAACAGTCACTGAATGAATGTTATACAGTGGTGGGATGCTGCTGGTTTAACAACTGGTTCGGTGATCGCGCGCTTCGCTTTGCGCATGTGCGTAATTTTACAAATGCTAACCTTCTGTGTTACCACTTGGGAGTAACACAGCTGAGGCATGGCAATCCACTCTGTCGCGCCAATCAGCTGAGAAGATAAAGGTAAGTAAAGCTCAGGGGCAGGTGGGTGGGCCGACCTGATCATCGGAGTGAACTGGTTTGTTCCCAGCTGATCGTCGGAGCTACCAGTTCCCCTGAACTGGTCCGAACTGGTAGAATCCCACCCCTGATGTTATATAAAGACTAACCGTCTACAGTTGGAAGAGCATTCAGCAGCAGAGCACATTTTCTCCTGTCTTTCTTCCCTTGTTTCAATACAAGACCTCCACAATTTAATCTAGAGAATTGGTAGAGCTGATTCTTGGGACAACAGCTGGGAATAGATACATGACTGTGGCTGAGGTTTCCAGCATCCTGTCATAGTCAGTTGACTCCATCACTGACTATTGGGGGTGAGATCTTGACCCCCTCAGAGAGGGCTCACAACTTGGGTGTCCTCCTGGACTCGCAGCTGTCCCTGGAAGACCATCTGACGGCTGTAGCCAGGGGGGCTTTTTATCAGGTTCACCTGATTTACCAGTTGCGTCCCTTTCTGGAGCGGGATTCCTTATGCACAGTCACTCACACCCTCGTCACTTCCCACCTGGACTATTGTAACGGTCTCTACATGGGGCTCCCCTTGAAGAGACCCGGAGGCTCCAACTGGTCCAGAAAGTGGCTGCGCGGGTAATTATGGGAACGACCCGATGCTCTCATGTAACACCGCTCCTGCATGAGCTGCACTGGCTCCCGGTGGTCTTCCAGGTGCGATTCAAGGTGTTGGTTGCCACCTTTAAAGCGCTCCATGGCATGGGCCCTGGGTATCTACGAGACCGCCTTCTGCCACCGATAGCCTCCCATCAACTGGTATGCTCCCACAGAGAGGGGCTCCTCTGGGTGCCGTCAGCTAGACAATGCCAGCTGATGACCCCCAGGGGGAGAGCATTCTCTGTGGGGGTCCCTATCCTCTGGAATGAGCTGCCCCCAGAGATTCGTAGGATTACCGACCTGCATACCTTTCCCGGTGCCCTAAAAACATTACTATTTCAACAAGCAGGGCTGGCCTAAATAATAATAATATTTTTACTATTTTAATAGGTTGTTTTATTAGAATTTTTGGCTAATTGATTTAATTGTTTTAACTTGTTTTTAATTTTTCTATAATCATTGTTTTATTTCTGGCTGTACACCACCCTGAGTACTTCAGGAGAAGGGCGGTATAGAAATATAAATAAATAAATAAATAAATAAATAAACAAACAAACAAACAAACAAATAAATAAATAAATAAATAAATAAATAAATAAATAAATAAATAAATGACAGAGAAGAGGGAGGGGCAAAAATACCTCTTGACTACTTAGCCCTTTAATTTTAATATGACTAATAACACATATTAAAAAGGGGGAGAGAAACCATTTTATCTTGAATATATTTGACCTTTCTTTTGCTTCTTTTGCACTGTTTTGATCCAATATGTTTATTGCTAATTTTTTTGCAAGTAATTTTCCCTAATATCTTTTTAGCATTACTTGCTGGTTTTTATGCAAACTACATCATAATCTTTGGAAGACGAAAGTATCAGCACAGAATAAAACTTCCACATATTGGCTGCAAAAATCTTGGCTAGTACTAGATGGCAACAAAGAGCCTCAGAAAACTCTAAGTCTTTGCTGTGATGAGCAAATGTGATTTTTACATCCAGATAAGGTAAGTTTTATGGTTGAAATGTATTGTTTGTGTAGAAATTTTGGAAGTGCTGTGTACAGCTCAAGTGTATTTACATTACAATGGGAACTGACACATTTTCCCTATTTTCTCAACCTATATTTGATATGTAAATCTTTGTCGTTCATTGCTGAGCCTTTCTATTAATTCCATTAATTGTTAGATTATCAGCTCCTCTTTTTGTCTCCTTCTCATCTTTCACAGGTGCTTTCCAAAATGTCCTTTCTTTCTATTTCCTTCTACATTAAATGTATATACCAGCACATCTGTTTACTGTGCTGATGTTTCAACCATGAAGTGAAACTGCAGAAACAACAATTGCTACCTGAAGTGAATGAACAGAGGCTCTGGCATTTCAAAATCAATATCATGAGAGAATGCAGACTTGTCTAGGAGAAATATCATGATGCTGCTCTATTTGGTTTCATAAATAATGTGTTACTGGAAAATAAAAATACTGTGTGCTATGGCTTTTCTTCACATATCTCAGTGTGGAACAATTGTGGAAATGGCAGACCTCCTGAGATTTTTAGCATCAATTAAACTGAAGTCTGAAGCAGATGCTACCCAGGCTTCATTTTAAACAGAGTTTCAGGATTTCTTATTAGCTGTACTAAATAAGACAACATTGAGATTGTTAATACTATCTTCTTTTATAGGTAATATTATGGCTGTACAATCCCTATTAAGTGGGATTGGGTTTATTGAATTTTCTCACGTAATGAAGTTATTGCAAGTAAGATTTCATTGTATAAAGAAAGCTGATGTAGCCTATTATTTACCAGACTGTTATTTTAAAAAAAGTTATTATTTTCAAATTCTGCCTTACCCATGCATGAGTAAACTTGCGAGATTTACCTTCACAATATTAGCTGGGGTGTGAAAAGATTTCCTCTGCATAAATTGTATGATTGCAGATTGTGCCTCTTCAAGAGAACAAAATACAAACTCTTGCATAAATGCATATGGGCAGTGTCTTATTACAGAGTCTGTCCCTGCCCCCTTAATATGAAGTTGAATATTTGGAAGGAGTTCAAAATATAGTAAGCAACCATTGGCCTAGTTTGTCCCAGAAGTGTAATAGGGACTTAAGTGAAAAATTGATGCTAAACGTGCTGTGTAATAGCTGCACCCATTTATGTCTTAAATCATTTGAGCAAACAAACCCCAAACAAGTGGACAATTAACATATCAAAATAAAAACACAAATGTTTAAAGCAGCAACATCAGAGAGATATCCTGGCAAAGTTGAAAAACTACCAGAGAAGCCAGAAGCTTTATGAAGAGTAGCCTCCAAGAACAACCCACAGAAATGAAATAGCTTTTTCTGATTGCTGAAAACTTATGAGCGTTTATATCTCTCAAGGTTATTTTATATTCTGATCACTACAAGGGAGAAGGTTCCATTATTAATGTTCACAGACGCTTTTTGTGGAGGAAAAGGAAAAGGAAAACAATTACAGAAAAAGTTTTCTGTAATTCTGTTAAGAGAAGCATTTCTTGAGATGTTCTGGATCCGGTATATTCCAGATTTAATACAGCATATAAAAGAAAATGATCTAATCTTACCCAAAGGTTAGTTCCATAGAGGATATTCACCCTAATTTGGAGTAACATCTCAAATCAAATACAGGAAGCATTGGTTGATTATGTACTATCAACTCAGTGCCAAGTCTTAGTAACTACATAGATTTTATCCAAGATGATCTGTCCTTAACCTGTCCTTCACCTCTTCCAGCAGTGTTTCTATTGCTATTGTAATTGAGTCCATGCACCTTGCTGCTGCTCATCCTCTTCTATTTCTTTTCACCTTTCCAAAGCACTAGTGATTTCCCTAGAGAGCTAGGTCTTCAAATAATGCATCCGAAGTATGACCATTTGAGTTTGGTCATTTATGCCTTGAATGAGAATTCAGCATGGATTTTGCTCATTTTATTATTTTTTTTTCCACTTGGCTAACCATGATATTCTCAGGAATTTTCTCCACGTCCATTCTTTTGCTTCCATAGAATGTCACAGGGAATACCATGGATCATACAGTTGCGATCTTTGTAGAAATAGACACATCATGGCATCTGAATATTTTTACAAGACTTTAATTGGTGCCCTACCAAGTGCATGTTTCTTGACTGCTTGTTCCTTACTACTGTTGATAGTCAGGTCTTAAAGCTGTCCACCACTTCAATCTCTTCACTGTAATTTCTGTGGCTGGTTACTATATACGTTGTGATTAATTTGGTCTTATTTACATTTAATTTTACTCCTGTTTTTCCCCCCGCTGTGCTCCTTTACTTTCATTGCTAGACCTTGCAGATCATTTGCATTTTCAGCAGAGAAGTATCATTAGCATAGCACAGGTTATTGATGTTTCTTCCTCTAATTTTAAAGCCTCAATCATCTTCTTCCAATCCTATTTCCCTTGGGATATAGTCTGCAAATAAATTGAATAAACAAGGAGTGAGTATGCAGCCTTTTCTCACTCCTTCATCAACCTGGAACCCCTCTGTACTATGTAATGTTTATATAATGATTTCTGTTTGGTGTACAGTTGTTGCATAAAAATGATGAGATTCCCACTTTTTAAGTAACTTCTGTAGCTTTACTTGTTTGTTATTGAATGATCTTAAGCATTATTTTGCTAGCATATGAAATTAAGGATGTTGTACAATGTTTGCACACTCTATTAAGTCTCCTTTCTTTGCTATGGTATACAGATTGTTTTCTTCTGGCCTGTTGTCCAGAAGTTGTTGCCACATCTTTATTAAAAGTTTTACTGATTCTTTTCTGTTGCTCACCATGTTTTTGTAGATACTCCAAAGATTTCTGTAGCCTTCTGACTTGGTAATAACCCGAATGCTGCCTAAACTTCATCTGCCAATACCAGATGATAAATAAATGTATATTTCTTATAAATATTTATACTTGTACCTACAATATCTTGGATCTTGACTGTCTTTATTGTACAAAATGTCAGTTTTCTCCTTCCATCTTTGAATCAATTATTTTTCGGTATCCTTTAATTTACCAATTTTATGTTGAAACCTCCTTCTGAGTTCAGAGATCTTTTGGAAGATTCTCATTGTTTTTTCCATGTATATTTTAATCTTTCATATCTTTACAAAAGCTGTAATATTGTTTCTTGTCTCTTCCAACAGCTAAATTAAATTCTTTGTTAGGTGTGTTCCTCAGATTTTTGTCCTTTTAGTCTTTGATTTCTCTTTGTCTTCCTGAGAATTTCCACCATTAGTTCTGACATACACTTTGCCTTTTCCTGTTTCTTGAGTTTTGCCAGTCTATTTCATATTCCTCCTTAATTAATTACTTAGGTTGATTTCACAGTTCTTCTGGTTGCTGATAATAAGGTTCAGGACCTCAAAGTGATTCCTGATGTTCTTCTTGAAAATGGTAGTTATGCTAAGTATCATATAGTGGAAATTTATTTGCTTTCTTCTCCTGCTTTAGCTTAATTTGGAACTTACATATGACCTATCTATTCCACAGTCAATTCCTGATCATGTCTTTGATGCTGTAACTACTCCTTGACCCCTTTTAGCAATAATATAGACAGTTTGATTTAATATATTACATCTGCTGATGTCCATGCATAGAATCATCAATTTGGTTGTTTGAAGACCTGTTATAGCAAAGAAGTCTTTGAATTGATACAAATTCATCATGCATTGTTCTGCATCATTTCAGTTCCCTGGGCCATATGGTCCAACTTCTTTTCTGTCCTTAATATTGATACTTTGAGTATTCCACATTTTCACTAGAAACAGCACAAACATTGTATTTTTGTCAAGTTCAAATCGAACTTGATCATAAAATTTATCAGCCTCTTCAAAGCAACACAGTTTACTCATTTTTCATGACCTGAGTAGTGAGCAGTGCAATCTTCTGATTGAAAGTATCCAGGTCCAGTACATCTCCATTCCCTAATGCCAAGATGTCAATGTGGACTTGATTCATTTGGATGTTGGACCTTTTCCATGTTCATGCTTTTTATATTCCCATGTTTCCATATTGGCAAATAGATGTCGCAAAGGCTTTAATTTTACCACATTGGATTCCAAATTCTTCCTCGGTAGCATGTTGAGTGCCATCTGACTTTAGGGGGCCATTACTTGGCACAACATTATGAATCATTTGATATCCACGTCGTTTTATTGATAAAACATAAGAATGATTTGCCATTGCATCCTCATTTAGAATATGAAATGTATAGTAATCACCTACCTCCAGCATCTTCCTATATTACTGCTTGTTTTAGCTCTTCAGAAAAGGTACCATTGTAGAAACTGGAAGCATCATAGCGAGACCGTGAAAATCCAGCCAGACAAACTGTTGTTGGGGGGTCTTCGGACTGGAACTGTCATGTAGGGATTGTGAAGAAGGAGAGGCATCTTGGACGACCAAGAGGAACAGGCACATTCCTCGAAAGGTTGGAGGGAGTTCTTCAGACTGGTGGTGGGGGTGGCGGCCATTGTAAAATGACCGCACTGAAGCTGGGGCAACTGGATTAAGTTTTTGTGCAGGAGCGGTGTTTGAATGGAGTGAGTGATTGGCCAACTCACAAGTAAAAGAAAATTTCAATTTGGAACATTAAAAGGTTTCCCGGAATTGAAATGAGTGGCTAATTGGCACTTGGGAAATTCTAGGGAGGGAACAGAACAAAGAGGACGCTAGAATATTAAAGCCCAAGAAAGTTTTTATATCTATAATTGGATTTGGATAAACTAAAAATAATAAAATAAAAGAATCTGAGAAAAAGTATTTTTTATGTGAATTTAAAATATTTTTGACAGCTTTGACATTTAGTTGGTTTGAAAATATTATGGATTTGAGAGAGACATCTGCTGGCAGAAAGAGAGTACTGCAATATTTGTTGGAAGATAGAAGAGAAAGTACAGCTGTGACCTTGACTACTAAAATCTAATTTGGAAACTGTGGGAACTTTTAAGGAGTATTTGTCTTTCTACATTGCTTGGTTTCAATTCTCAACTGCTGTGGAAGATAACAAATCTTTAACTTGGAGGACAGGATAAATACTTGAATTGGACATTATTTGAAAACAAAAAGGGACTATATTGATTTTAAATTTTAATTAAATGTGACATAATTCAAAAGTGTTAATAATTTCTTAAATTGGCAATATGGAGTCTTGGATGTGTGAGAAATTAATTGAGATGTTTAAAAATATGTGTGAATCACTAAAGGGTAATAAAAAGTCAGAAATTTTGCTGGAACACACAGAACAGGAAATAGGGGAGAAGGTGGTAAAAGAGAGCATA